AGTGTTTCCAATGCAAGCAAGGCGTAATAATACAAATGTGTAGAACAGGTATGGTGTTACGATTTACGAATGTATAGACTGGTGTTTGTATCAAGTTGTTTTCTTTTTTCTATCCTGCAAAGATGACTCCTCCAAAATGTTAAGGCTTTCGAAAAAACCATCGAATTCTCACCATAATGTTTTGTAGGAATTTCGGACTTTTGTGGAATTTTTTCCGGACTTTTATTTCAGACTTTTTTGCAGACAATAAAACGATGTTCTCTGAAGTTTATGAAGCTTGATGATGAGTATGCTAAGTTTCAAAATTCAAAGAACACTATATCAATAATAATAAACAAACAAGACAAAAAGTCCTATCGCATACTGTTGAATAGTTTCCGCTCCTTATCTGGCGGCCATTTTGACTTGAGCCCGCGATCCATTGCAGGTCAGCAGTTTACTTCATGAACGTAGGTGGATTTCACGTTCACGAAAAAAAAAAACGAAGAATTTTCGCACAGAAAATTAGGGAACCTCGACACTGGGTCTTGCGGCGAGTGTAAAAAGCCACAAACAGACAATTTTAAAATAAGCCCAATCAAATATCGTAGGGTAAGCTTTCAGGGCCTGAACTGCCTGAAGTTCAGGTGGTTCAGGTTAAATAAAATAATCAACTGTGGTTACATGAAGTATATGCAATATTTATAACATCAGAGTGCCTTTTGGCATCGTTTTTAGGGAATTTTCATTATATTCGACATATATTTCAAATTACAGGAGGATTTTACGCAATTTTTACGGATTTTCAAGGATTTTCAAAGATTTTCAAGGATTTACATGGAGTTTTTGCCGATTTAGGGATTTTTCAAACTTTTTAAAATCCCTCTGGACTTTGAGGAAGTGTACGAGTGACTTCGAGTGATTTGCCCCTCGTAACAACTTATTCTGTGTTGTTCTAATAATATCTATTGTTTTTGAAACGCATATTTAATTCAGTTTAATTCATTCTTTGTTAAATAGTACAAGGAATACTGAAATCTTTCAGATCAGCTAACAATACCTTTATAACTTATATAGCTAAGTGTTCTACCTATTAGATTAAATTTTTTCAAAAATGGGCTTGTGTGTTTTCAAAGCATAAAAAGCAATAAAATAAAGCAAAAGTACTCATTTTTAATTTACTAGAAAGAAAATACATGCATGCAGAAACCCTTGCCTTACTGACAAAACCATTATGTTTTCCGAGCATGAAGTATTGAAAGTAGTTGTCATGGTAACACGATAATTTTATTAAGAATAATTTTAAAATTGAAAAATTTGCGAGAATAGAATGTCAAATAAAGTATAAAGGAAGTCTGATTAAATTGATAAATGCAGCAAAATACCAAAACGTACATAAATTTTATTAGAAATAACCATGAAAATGATGATACAACTGCAGGATTATAATGAATGTCTAATTTTAAAAGTAATCGAAACACTTTTTCGATACCGTGCAGTATCGACTACTTCCTGTTTGGGCCTGGTATCGGGTGGTATCGATACCAAGTGATCGGTAATCGCCCATCACTATTGAAAACACTTTCCAGATCATCTAGTCTATTCGTCCCGAAAAATGGCCGCCAACAGGAGTTTGAGCCCGCGAATTCCTGGTGTGACACTAATCCTTTAAAACTAAACTGCCTTTTATCGGTAAACATTCAGTTTGAAATAAACTGATTTCAAGTTCTCGCATGAAAATAACTTTGCTTTCCTCTTTATTTAAAGATTTTAATTGAATAAAAATGGGTAATTAATAAAAATACACTGCACTGAAATTATATATTGTCTTTTTTCACTTATATACACAATGATCGTATCAGTTTTTAATTAAAGCAATTATAAAGCAAACAATACATCAAAATTACTTTGCTCCCTTCTTTTAGACGTTTTTTGGCTTTTTTCTCAAAAAGTTTTGAAATTTACAAAATCTTGTAAAAATACAATATATTTGCAAGAAATGTTTGTTATTTCGCTGTCGTCATGCAGTCGTTATAATGCAAAATTCAAATTTGACCAATCAGTGTTCGCTATTCACGACAGTCGAACGTCCACTACATATCCTGAGATCAATGAGGATGACCACCCATGAACCATAGCCATGCGCCCGCGATATTCGATGAACTTTAGACTTCGCTAGTGCGTTCCTTTCCCTGGGTGTAAATAGCAGGGCGGAATTAGCACCCTCGCCCCGGCCGCCGTTGGCTCGGGGAAAACCTTTGGAATGCACAGCTGCTTAATGTTTTCCACTAAATCTATTACAAAGTTTTCGTTCCGCATTCAAATGTTGTTTTATCGGCTTTAAAACCAGATAAATCAACGAAATACTTCTAATATATGTCGCCATAATGACTTTCTGCACGCTGGTTAGCGCATGCTCAAACAAATTGCCCACCTGTTTATATATACATGACTGTCACGGCTGCGAGGTGCGGATGAAAAAACTGTGCCCGAGTCTCGGGCACAGTTTTTCTCATCTGGACCGAAGCTGCCGGTAAAGAATGTGTTTATTTTTAGCAGATGTAAAATTTAATTCATTAAAATTCCAGTATTGCATGCGAACTAATTTGAGATCAGTGCGGTTGTGTATTAAAGAGAGGCTGACATAAATTGAAAAGTTGAAAGATAAACATCTCGATAAACGGGAGCACGAAAACTCGAAAAAATTGGCAAAGAACACACAAAAAGAGGTATAGTTTTAGTAAAAATGTAGGCAATTAACTTATGTAGCTACATGCTTTTTTCATGAATATGGTTGCAGAAAAACTGCATTGGAATAAAAAGTTTAGGCCTGGCGTTTTGGCTTTGACAAATTCAGCTAGTTGCTTCCGCGTGAACTTCAGTTGCTTTGCCGATCAAAAACACATATAAATGAATCTGTTTTGTTTTAGTCAACGCTTTTCTACTAAAACGACAATGAAGAAGGTATGCTGTTCACAAATTTTGTATTTTTCTAGTCATTTTACGATAATATGCTTGGAAAATGTGTTTTTTATTTGAGGCCAAAATTTCAGTGAAATTCCGTTCACACAGCGAGCTAGGGCACTAGCTGTTCTGCCTAAAATTACTCTTCTCGAAGCATTTTCCCTAATATCGCCTTATTAAAATATGCCTGGAGCCCAAAAGCCTAATACTTTAATTTGGCCAAACCGTACAGCTTTTCATTTATAGTGACCAGCCACGTTCATGCATACATCTGACATTTGTCGTGTATACGATGGTCGATTTTCCTGACAAAGTTTACTTGGATTTCTTAACGTCTCCCTCCGTTGTTAAAAATCAACTTTCTTGGAGATCACACAGAGAGCACATGAGTTTAAAGATGCTGTAAAGTCCGTTCTGCACATACGTTCTGCGCACGCCTACATTCCAGTGGTCGGGACCCGCATAATATTTCGCACCTTCCGAACTTTTTTGAATTGAATCTCTAGTATGTATTCATTTACAAGCATAGCGAACCAGAAGAGTGTTAAAAATTCAGTATAATATATATGCATAATCATATTTTAAAACTGTAGCACTGAGTTCAAAATGTAAACAAAGCGTTTGTTAACTTTGTTTACATTACGGACTTTACATAACCTTTAATCAGAGGAGGAATGAGGATCTTCCCGAAATGCAACGCGTGAATCAGTGCGGCTCATTATTATTCAAGCTATTTATTCTCAACACGCCGTTCGATTAAAACTGTTGAAATATATTGCGATTTTTGCTGTGAAGATCTCGTTTTCTCAAAGGTATGTTTTGATAACCTTTTTGGTTAGTAATTTAATAAAAGAAGTTTTGAATAATTTTGTATATATATAGCATTTTACTTATGTTAAATTCCCATTGTATTTATGCATGTTTTGGGTGTTGAAAAAGTGGCAATGAAATATTCTGGAGTAAATTGTACTTTTTTACAAGGAAACTAAAATAAAATTACATCAGTGAATTCAGGAATGTTTACTCTTTATATTGATACTTTAAAACATGAATTTACTCTATAAAACCGAAGAGTTATCGCAGTTTGAAAATGAGCTATTTTTGCTATGGGAATTTAACATAAGTAAAATGCGATATATATACAAAATTATTCAAAACTTCTTTTATTAAATTACTAAACAAAAAGGTTATCAAAACATACCGTTGAGAAAACGAGATCTTCACAGCAAAAATCGCAATATATTTCAACAGTTTTTAATCGAACGGCGTGTTGAGAATGAATAGCTTGAATAATAATGAGCCGCACTGATTCGCCCGTTGCATTTCAGGAAGACCCTCATTCCTCCTCTGACCTTTAATAATGAACACCTTCGCCGCAATTTTGAAAACAATGTTTGAAATAGCGAAATAATAACGTCTATGCCTAAATTTCGTGAGTCAAATTATCAGCCAGTAAAAGAATACTTTTTCGTGTTTTACCATTGTTTATTAACCATTTTTACGGCAGAAGTTGCGAATATATGCTGATATATGAGTTTTGTTTATTATAATGTATTTGCGCGCCCGGGAGACTGTCTCAAATTTCTAGGAAATGAGTTATGTCCCTAATTAGTGAGTTGTTGACAATTTTACGGCATACTTCGAAACCCGGACCGGACTCGGACTCGGACCCGGACTCGGACTCGAAGAAAATCCGGACTCGAGAAAAACCCGGACCCGGACTCGAAGAAAATCCGGACTCGTGTTTAACAAAACCCGGACTTGACTTATTTGAAAACCCGGACTCGAAATAAGGCAAAACCGGATTCAAATCAAGGACTCTGTGTACGAAAATGCAAAGGTTTTTTGGAAAGGTTTAATAATTAGTAACATGATAAACGATGATCTCTTTATATCTTTATCTCGATATTTTTAATCTTCTGCTGTTAACAAAATAATCACTTAGATATACTGGAACCAAATCATTTAGGCACTTTCTCACGGAAATTAGTGAAGAAATAGCCGAAAATACATCATGGCGTTCACCGAGCGGCGGGACATGGCAGTTTGATTCTAAGATGCTATCAGTTACATGGCATAGTAAAAGTGAAAATATTTACTTCAAAGGTGAAAAAGGCAGCGATCTCACCACACGAGTATATTCCTACATAAATCTGGGGCTCGGGGAGAGTGATCAAACGGTGGTGAGTGGAAGTCCTACAGAAACCGAGCTAGAAAAGTCCATCGAAAGTCTGTTAGCTAGCAAGAATGAACATATGAATGATATTAATAAAACTAAAGATATACCAACTAACGAGGGAGCTAGCGAGGATGAGAATACGAGTGATATTGAAAAAACCGAAGATACATCAACTAAAGAGGGTAATCCTGTAAAGGCTTCAAATCGACATCTTGATTTTAGTAACAGTATTATTCATGAAGCCCAAAGTTCAAAGGAAGAAACGAACACAAACTTGTCAACAAGTGTAAATTTGCATAAAGAACCAATGAATTTGCATAGAGTGCCTCATTCCTATATTCCTTTGGGAGACCCGAACAAAAACTATAATCCGGAGTTTGATATCGGAGCATTGAAATTTAAGCTGGAGAGCTTTGCTGAGAACGTCGACAGCAAATTTCAAGCTCTTACAAAAGAAGTGGCTGACATTAAAGAAAATAAAGTTTATTCGATTATAATTCTCGAGAACACTGTCCATGAATTAAAGAAAGAGAAATATGACCTAATCAAAGCTAACAACGACTTAAGAGAGAAGAACGAAGTATTACATCAAAAAATTTCGGATTTTAATTCGACAGTACAAAGATTGGAAGATGAGAAGCAGAGTCTAATCACAACCCTAAAGCTAGTTCAAAAGGAAACTCAAACTGTTCAGCCGGATTTGAATGACAGAATGCAAAACCTTGAAAACGAAAATAAGAGCTTATCAACGGCATTAACACTCTTGCAACACGAATTAGATAATACTCAACAACATAAATGGAAAGTTGTAAAGACGAAGTATAATAAACCACCTTCAGAGACCCCAGCAGGATCAAATACTATTGAAACAAAAAATCAATATACAACCCTTAGGGTCACTGATGCTGAACATGACGATATTCCAGCAAGACTGAATACCCAACAGATTCTAGATGAAACTTCGAATACAACCAAACACAGCAACATACAGATGGTTGGAAAAAGCAGTGGTCCATCAAATTCTAATGAGTCAAGTCGTGACTCACAACGTAGTCAACCTAGAATAGCTATCCTCGGAGATTCGATGATTAAACATTTGGACACCAAACGAATGCAGAATGATTGAAGAAAGGAAAAGTAACGATTAAGACATTTCCTGGTGCAGGTATTGACCAAATGAAGCATTATGCAGTACCAACTCTAATTACCAAGCCAAAGACACTTATATTTCATGTTGGAACCAACGACTTACATAACAAAACACCAGAAGATCTAATAAATGCAATGAATGATCTTGGTGAAACGATCCATAGACAGAACAACGATCCAGTGGAACTTATATGGTCGGAAATAATAACTCGAACTGATGATCCAAACTTAGCAGAAAAGGTAAATGTAGTCAATGCCGAGCTCGCTAAATTATGTACAGATAAGGGCTGGGGACTTATTAAACACAACAACATTAAAGGAAGTCTTTTAAATAACTCTGGTCTACATTTAAATAAACATGGAACTACTACATTAGCTAAAAACATAAGACAATTTCTTAGCAGCCATTGACTAGATATCCTGAGTTTTCAAACACTACGGATCCTGATTCAACATTTTTGCATATCGTAGATCAAATAAACACACAGTCTAGTTCACGACAAACAATGCAAATAAACAGCACGCCTTATCCAAAACTGAAAGGCTTTAAAATTGGCCATCTAAACGTTGCAAGTCTATATAAGCATGTTGATGAACTAAGAATTTTTATGAACGATAAAATGTTTGACATATTAAGTATCAATGAAACTAGACTTGACGGCACTATTGACAGCAACGAAGTTAATATCACAGGTTATGATCTTATTCGGAAAGACCGAAATCGAAATGGTGGGGGTGTCGCAATTTATATACGAAATGTTATTCCCTACACTATTTGCAATCACTTACTTTCAAGTACAGTAGAAGCTATTTGTATTGAAATTAACAAGCCTAACAGCAAACCTCTACTGATCTCAACATGGTATCGTCCTCCCGATGCCAAGATAGAATTACTTGTCCATTTTGAAATTTTTTTACAGAACATTGATGAAGAGGACAAAGATTTTGTTATAACTGGTGATTTTAATTGCAATTTTCTGTCAACTGAAAATAATAACCAACATACAAACAAATTGATTGAGTTAATAAATGAATACCAACTACAACAGCTAATCACTAGCCCGACAAGAATTACTCCTAGAACTAAAACTCTATTATAGACATTATTATCACAAAAATAGGCGACACAAAAATCATTGAATCAGGGGTCATTCACCTCGGAATTAGCGACCACAGCCTGGTTTA